GGGAAGGTGTGTAAGTGTTAGTCGTGTGGGGATGCCCCCTCACGGGGGCGTACGTGTCTTTTGGTGTATTTGTCTGTCTGGTATATTGTTTGTCGGGGGTCGCAATTTTAAAGAAATGTATTCTAAAGTAATGCAAATAACTGATAAATAAGTAAAAACTTACCTGGGCATAACCCCGGCACAGGTGCTGTAACAAAGATGCCGACGGCGTCTATGCTTAAGCCGGGGATTAGGTCGGTGATTAAAAGGAAAGAAAGGGATTCTTTCCAGGTAGCCTTAATAAAGGCAGGTAGAATTTGATCCTTGCACTACACTTTCACAAAACACGTGTGCTCTGGTCGGCTGCCCGCTAGGAACTGAAATAGTAACGAAGTAATTATAGGAAAAGCAAATTAATTAAATAATTAGGAACTCCTGAATTGACTTGCGTTATAGATAATCAGGTACCTATTTGATACTTATTGTAGGTAATCACTAATCTAAGTACTGACGATTTAATTATAATTTACTTTTTTATTTTGTATTTGTTTGTGTTCCGTAGTTCTAGAGCACTACTTCCTACTACACTTCTGATAAGCTGTGCTTCTGACTCCACGGACTCTACTGAGCTTTAGTACAATTGAAAACCGCGGAAATCGTATTTCACGTAAATGTGGACAAAATTCGCTTACATTTGCATTACTATACATTTAATAAATTTGTAATTTTCAGTTTTCATAAGTTAACGGTTTTCAGTTAACGAACTTAAAATATTATTTTGTTTAATATTATATTCGGAATTGTTTGTTTATCAGACCGTTTCAATTTTGAAAAAATAATATTCGCCTCTGGCGAATTCTTGAGCGATAGAGTCACAAATCAGCATTATTCGTGGATATGTAATAATTATGCTTAGGTGTATTTTGGACAATTTTGATTAGTAATAATACAATTACAGAAGATTTAATGAATGCCAATACAAGTCTTGTTGAAGAACTGTTTTCACATGCACTTTTTGCTTCTTCAATCAGTAATTTGGTGTTTTCTAACGGTGGATCAACAAGTTGTGGTTTTTTATTATTGTTTATCTATTAATTATCTGAACCGATAAATCCTGAAAAGTGATGCGTTAGCTTAGAATTCTTAAGCTTTAAGGTAAACCAGTTTCATAATATTTTTCTTAAGAGCAGGTGTACAATAAGTTAATTAATCAAGAATGCATTAAAGTTAGGTTATATTATTTTTCATACATTTCTCGTATCTTCTTTATAATTTTCCTGAATTAATATTGGGTTTTTATTTCAGGCCTTTACTATACATTCCAAAGAAGGTACAAATACATGACTAACAGATATGTCTCGCAATGAAAAAGTCAAATCGGGAAGTTTTGTAAGTACCTAATTTTTTAATCTACTTTTTAACCATTAAGTAAGTAAGCTAGATGTAAATTCCCTAGAAAATGTTTGGCCATTTCCAGCATTATAATATTTTTTGAAGAATATTGTAAGCAATGAATTGGTTATTTAATATATATAGGTACATTTTTAACAAGTTGCAGTAATTCCGATGTTGTATATGACAGGAATTATAAAACTATATACTGTAATAATGATTTAATATTATTATGTGTAGGTAAAAGTGTCGACAATACTAAATGCATTGTGTAAATTGTGGTTGTTAACTCCTACTGAGAGCTAGACGTTTGTTGATACCTTTATAGAAGGGTGCAAGACATTTGTTATTATTTTTTTTAGAGCTCTTCTGTAAAAAGAGACCATTTTTTACAAAAACTTCAATGAAGGACTGATATTTTTATCACATTTACACGACACTAAATATTCAGTTTCAATGTTTCGATATTATTTGTTTTTTGTAAGCAGTCCTTTGTATTGTAGTATTTACAAAAAGACAGAACTATTTCTTCAAATTAGCCAAATAAAATTTGTGCTATTTTGAAGTTAAGGGATATACTTACCTACTTTGTATCGCTTCATTTTTTTTAATTATAAATATTTTATTTTATAATAAACTGATTGTTAAATGAAGTGAATACTAGCATTATAGGTATATAAAAAGAGCAGTATGTAAGTAATATCCAAATTTTTCATTTAAAAAATTGCTTTGTTTACTGTTTGAGCATTTCAGGGTAGCGATCTTAATCGGTTTAAATTTTTTTTGGTTTCAATTTCCCAAAACTAGATAAATAGATAACAGCTTCATTAATAGTAGGATGCCAATCAACTACAACTACACATTTTAGTTCCAAAATATTTTGTAATTCTGTATGTATACAGGGTGTCCAGAAAGTTCATGTAAAAAATGAAGGGGTGTACAGGGGAGCTCAAAATAGTTGTAGTACTTCATAAAAATTTTTTTCCTATCGGGCTTCGTTGTGGAGTTATTCGTCTTCAAGGAAAGAAGTTTGAAATACAAATTCCAATTATTATAACTTCTAAGTCGTTACCATGACAACAATGAAATTTAGGCAATTAAAGTATATCATGGTAATGTGCTTTTCCAATTTTAAACGGATATTCAATATGCCTGGATTATACAGGAGTAGACAAAATTATCCATTTAAATTTATACATCTTTGACAGCGTTGCCTTTGGCATATTTCTTTCATAGTTTGATTTCTGTCTCACTTTGCTAAAAAAAAGGTATACCATCTATCAGTCGATGTCTTGTACCGTTTTTGAGAAAATCGAATTTTATTAATAACATAACATGTATTGCAAAAATGTGATATGAACATTTTTGCAAAAATCTTTGGAAATTGAGATGACTGTCAACAAGTATGTATAATTAGCAGTTAGATTTTTATCATAAATCATTTTGACATCATTTGTTGATTCAATATCTTGGAGGATTTTAACTATGGAGAATTCTAATGTACGAACTTGCAGAATGTAATGCTTCTGAAGCTGTTTGGATTTACGGCAACCGTTTTCCAAATAGAATTTGCATATTTGAAGTGACGAAAACCCCCATGCTATTATTCAGACAAAACATTAACAAAAATATAATATCGTGAATGTATGGATGGGAATAATTGGAAACTACTTAGTGGGTCTACATTAATTGATGATGCTTTAAATGGGGATAAATACCTACATTTACTGCAAGAACACCTTAACTCGTTATTGGAAAACGTCCCTTTAAATATTTGAAATAACATGTGGCTTATGCCCAATGGTGTACCATCCCATTTTAGTAGGGCAGTAACGGCTTATTTAAATACCACATTTCCCGATGGATGGTAGTCCTTTTCCGTGGCTGCTTCGGTCTCCTGATTTTAGTCCTCTCAATTTTTTTCTTTGGGGTCATCTTAAGAGTCTTGTTTATCAAATTCCTATAAATAGTAGGGAGGAATTATTAAATCGCATAATTATATACGCCGACATCATTAGAAATGATCACCATGTTATTTTGAGTACAGCAGAAGTGTTTGAGCAATTTCAGAAAATGCATTAACAGTTCTCTTTTTCCTTTTAATTCTTTAGAAACCAAGATTTTTACAAAAATGTTACTATCACATTTTTGAGGCAATAAATTTATGTTGTTAATAAAATTCGATTTTCTCAAAAACGGTACAAGATTTCGACTGATATACGATATACCTTTTTTTTAACAAAGTAAGAGAGGAATCGAACTATGAAAGAAAAATGTTAAATTTGGCGATGCTGTCAAAGATGTGTAAATTTAAATGGATAATTTCGTCTGCTCCGGTATAATCCAGGCATATTGAATATCCGTTTAAGCTTGGAAACAAACATTATCATAATTTACTTTAATTGCCCAAATTTTATTGTTGTCATGGTAACGACTTAGAAGTTATAATTGGAATTTGTTTTTCAAACACAACGAAGCCCGATAGGAAAAAATTTTTTATGAAGTACTACAACTATTTTTAGCTCCCCTGTATACCCCTTCATTTTTGACATGACCTTTCCGGACACCCCGTATAATACAATAAGACTATTTTTTTTGTCAGAACGTTTTTTTAATCATATACATTTTTTAAAATTAGAGAATTTAGATAATTATTTAACAAAAAATTCATTCACAAAAATTTTCTAATTTAAAAATATAAGTCTTACAAACCGTATCTTTATTTACCGCTTTTCCATGAGAGAATGAATAATAAAGTATGTGAATTCCTGTAAATTTTTCGTTATCTTTTTATATATTACATTTATATATATCTAGATAAGGTGTAAAATTATTAAATAAATTCAGTGATGTCATCGTAATTTGTTACTCTGTATAATTTTATCAGTGTAAATTTTTAAATTTTCTTTTTAAATTGTTTAGAGAATTACCAGTATTAATGAATTAAAATTTACAGTTTAAAATATTTAAATGGTTCTTTAAACATTTAAATGCGATAAAAGGACAACAGAAAATTATAACATATTAATACCATTGTCTGGTGTTGGACGATGATGGTTCATTTTTGTCTTCATCAGGACTGCACGTAACAATTTAGAATGTTTGTCAAACATTTTACAAAACCTCCATCTAGGAAAAGTTATAACTGATTTATTCTCAGCAATTGTAAATATTATTATCTCAAATTTTTCATTATCTTATCTGTGATAGTTAATAAATTTAATTACTCGACAATTGTGCAAAGTGTGAGGTTTTCCTAGTGCTATTTTTACAATGCAGGATGGTGATCAAAAGAAACCCAAGTATAAAACTTTGGGTATGTCTTTTCGTAGGAGAAGAGGAAAGACAAACGAGGTGAGATACTCTAATGATGAAAGCTTTTATTTAGTGCTTTAAATCCACTTATATTTATCAAAAATAATGTATACTCTGACTGTCAGCTTCTAATTTCTCCTGATACAGTTGTTACAGTATTTATATCAGTTCAACTATGACAAGTAAACTTTAAATTATTCTCTACTAGTTATTTCCTTGATGTGACTCATTTTGACAAGTTTGCCAGGAGAGTATGTAAACAAACAGTGGGAAGAGTAATGGGTCACATTTTCTTAATTCCAGATTCTGTTGTAGAATGTACTAATTAGTAGAGTTATTTAAAGTGATGATGAGTGTAGGAGACATTATTTATTCTTTACAACTTTTTTTTAAGGACAGATAAAAATCTATAAAATCATATGATATATAACATAATTTATCTAAGTAAGAAGCTAGATGACAGGTACGAAATATTTGTTCAAATACGTGGGAATTTGTCATTATTATTTTGTTCCATCCTTTCTAATAACAATATACAGAATTCATATAAATTGTTTAAACTTTACACATATTTTATTTTGCTAAGATGTGTTATATTTTTTTTATAAAATATGTTTAATGTATTCAAATGTGATTCAAATTAGAAACTACTTTTTCTTCCTTATTAGTTTGTCGATACCTATTACAAATTTAGAACTTCGTACAAATCATAAAATAATTTATATACATTTGACACATTTTGCTTCTAATTACAACAAAAAGTAACAGTTATTAATCAGTATTTTTAATCAACCTTATCATATAATTTTTTTTTTAATTTATAGATTTGTGAATAGTGATACATAACTACAATATTATTATTATAATTTATTATTTTACTATTTTGTGTTCGTTCTCGTTTGTTAAATACCTTTTGGATATTTTTTTACATTTTCGTATAAAAATAAAATAATATACATTTTTTAATGCCACGATATCTTATTTTAATATACAGGGTGTTCCTTAATGATATGCGAATATTTAAGGGTGTGATTCTACATGGTAAATTAATCATAGTTTGTTTTATAAACTATGGTCTAAAAATGTTCCATTGCGAAAATACGAGGTGTTAAAATTTTAGGAAAAAAAAGGAAATTAATATTTTCAAAACCACAGATACTTACTTCAAAATGTCAAAAATGCCAGGCCAACTAGGTGTATTATAAAATTGTATTCTTCAATAATTACATTCATTAATTACGGACAACACAACGGGTTTTATTTTTTTACTCAAAAATGGCGCATCGCAGGACAAAAACTCAAGAGAGCTTTTACCTTTCGATTTTAAAAATAATTTACTTGGGAAAAAACCATTGGCGTACCATTTTTTGTTTAAAAATATCAAGGTCAGTGCTCGTACGCACGCCACTGTTAGAGCTAAAAATTATGTTTGTATTGAAAAAAATGCGCCTTTATTGACTACTACTACATACTAAATATCACTGAAATATCTCAAGCAGTTTCGAAAATATCGATTAATTTCCTTCTTTTTCTTAAAATTTTAACACCCTGTATTTTCGCAATGGAACATTTTTGGACCATAGTTTATAAAGCAAACTATCATTAATTTTCCATGTAGAATCACACCCTTAAAAATTCGCGTATCATTAAGGAACACCCTGTATTTATATACAAACATGGCA